TTAAAAAAAAAAAAGGGGGGGGGGGGGGTAAGCAGGGGAAAATAGATAGAAATATTTGTTAAATTAATCTTTGCTGGGGTGAGTGAAAAAGACAAATCTGGGATGTCTCTTGAGTTAGGACTTGGGAGGGTAAGGAAAGTAACTAATCTGATACTTTCTTTGGATAACCATCACCTTGCTCGATGCCTGGAGCAAAGCAGTCTTTCAACAAATATTTCTGGGGGATGGGAGCTGTGATTTACATCCATAAATCCCAGCACTTTGGGGGGCCGAGGCAGGAAGATTGCTTGAACCCAGAAGTTCAAGACCAGCCTGGGCAACATAACGAGACCTTGTCTCTATTAAATAAATGAATGAGTGAATGAATAAATAAATATTTCTGAGTGAAATGATGTTGCGTGAATTGGTGTGAGAGAATATAGATCTCTCCTCAGCATATAAACTATAGAAAAAGACCACAGAAATTGATTTTATTACTTCATGCTTGCTTGAAAGAAATCTTGATTTTCTAGAAGTGTTCATTTGTATAAAGCTGAATTCCTATTTTCCTATTCATTTTAAGGTAGCATGGATCTGCCTGTGGATGAGTGGAAATCATACCTGCTTCAGAAGTGGTCTTTACTCCCAGCATCCATCCAGGTCACAATTTCTACAGCAGAGACTTTGAGTGAAATCTTTCTTCACTCCTCTTCGCTTCTTCAGTAAGTGAATGGAAGCTTTAACCAGGGAATTTTTGACCCAAAAAAATGCACAAAAAAATTTTGTCATGTGCTCTAAAGTAATATCTCTATTTGATGGAAAATGCCTGAAATGCTTTCTCTGATTCCTCTCCACCCCCAGCACACTCTGTGAACTAATTTAACTTCTGTTCATCCTTCAGGATTAGCCAAATCTTTCCTCCAGAAAGCCTTCCCTAAGCCTCAGCAGAATCATCGTCGCTTTTTGTACATTTACAGCACTGTGTAATTTTCCTCTGTATATTTGCATGGTCATTTGACTAATTATCTTCATCACTAGGTTGTAAACTTCATGAAGGCAGGTACCATGTCTGTATTTGTCTGTCTTTGTATAGATTAAAACAATGCAGTGTCAAAAAAATAAGCACTCAATAAACATTGGTTGAATGACAGTTTGTTAATACAGATAAAGTTTTTAGTTCAGTGGCTGGTTCATATTAGTGCTCAATATGACACACAAATGAGAACCTCATATACATGCAGATCCACAAACACATACCTTTCAGATTCAAGGCTGACATCTTTACCTCTGTGCCAAGAACTAGTACAGTGCCTGGCACTTAGTAGGCACTCAGATATTAGTTGAATGACATGAGTTCAGTTTCGAGCCTTGCTAGTTCAGGTACTTGGTACCATTCAAGTTACACTTTTTTGTTTGTTATTTTTCATTTTTATGAATGTAAGATTCAAAACATTCTCATTGTAAAAGATTGAAACAATATTTAATAAAGTAAAACCCGAATTAGTTCATCCTTTTCCTATTGATGGGCAGTTATTTCCAGTTGTTTTGGATTTTTTATTGTTATAAACAGAGCTTCGGTGAACAATCTTTGTGCATGTTTTTAAATATAGATGTAAGAAATTAATACAGATTCTTAGAGGAAGAACTGCTGTAACAATGGTTATGAGCATTGTAAATCAGATGCTGCCAAGTTGCCTTCCAAAAAGGCTTTACCAGTTTACCATGAACTGTGTATGAAAATCACTTTCCCATATCCTCACCAACATTAGAAAGCAACAGTCATTAATTTTGCCAGCCTTACGGACAAAAATCTCATTTTAATCTGCATGTTTCTGATTACTAGTGAAGTAATGCTCTTTTTCTGACCTTATACACCATTTGCATTTCTTCTATGAATTGTTTGTGTCCCTTGCCTATTTTTCTATTCTAGTAGGTTGTCTGTCTTTCTCTTGTTAATGTATAGTAGGTCTTCATAAATCTGGTTGTATAATTATTTGCTATATATATTATTAACTTTTCTCCTAGTCTGTTTATCTTCCCACCGCTCCTTTTTTTTTTTTGAGTCACCCAGATTGGAGTGACTCACCATAGCCCCGAACTCCTAGGTTCAGGTGATCTTTTGACCTCAGCCTCCCAAGTAGCTGGGACTACAGGTGTGTGCCACCATACATGGCTAATTTTTATATTTTTTTTGTAGCGACAAGGTCTTTCTATGTTGAGTAGGCTGGTCTCGTACTCCTGGGTTCAAGCAATTCTAACACCTTGCCCCCCACCAAAGCTTTTTTACCTTACTAAATGTGTCTTTTATTGTATATAATTCATATGTGTTTTAACTTTTGAAAAATTATTTTATTTTTATTTTTTTAGAGATGGGGTCTAGCTATGTTGCTCAGACTGACCTCAAACTCCTGGGTTCAAGCAGTCCTGCCTGAGCCTCCTGAGTAGTTGGGACTACAAGTGCATACCAACATGCCCAGTTTGTTTTAACTTCTGTACAGCCATATCTTCATTTTATTTATAGCTTCTGGGTTATATGCCTTGCTTAGGATGGTTTTTTCTTTTTTTTTTTTTGAGTTGGAGCCTCACTCTGTCACCCAAACTGGAGTACAGTGGCCGCTCCTGGCCACTGCAGCCTCGACCTACTGGGCTCTGGTGATCCTTCTGCCTCAGCCTTCCAAGTA